TTCTGATAGACAAGTCATAAGTCATAAGTTAGTTGAATTCAGTGTATGGTTAGACACAAAAGCCGATGCGGCATGTCAACTACAGACTCCTCATATTCCAGATCAGGGACATTTCAACGATAAAAAGCCGAAATTTAGGAATAGAGAAGTAACACTCGCGACTAAATGTGTTATCAAAAAATGTATGTGCTGTGAAAATGAAATGCACCATTTGAGTATTTGTCCAAAATTCAAGTCCTTCTCAACTGACGAAAGATGGTCATTTGTAACATCTAATAAAGTATGTTTTTCTTGTCTTTATCCTTATCACTCCATAAGAGAATGTAGGAGGAGAAAAACTTGCAAAGTACAAGGCTGTGAAAAACCTCATAATGAACTTTTACATACTCCTGAGGTTCCAACTACTGAAGAGTCGAACAATTCGAAAAAAAATGAATTTAATTGTCATATCTCTACAGATAGGGAAGTATTGCTAAAAATTTTGCCAGTGGTGATAAATAAAGACAACCATATATTCAAAACATTCGCACTTCTAGACGATGCATCCACTGTAACTTTAATAGATGAAGATTTAGCCAATGAAATGGAACTAAGTGGACCCCAAAAATCTTTATGTTTACAGTGGACAAATAATCAAGTGAAAATGCAAAATGATTCTAGAATTGTCACCATGAAAGTCTGCGGTGAAAATAATTCAAATATTAGTCATTATTCACGACATGTCAGAACATTTAAGGGACTCTCATTACCCAAACAAACAATTAATATCAAGGGAATCCGACAAAAATACCCGTATATTGACTCTAGTATCCCATCGATATTTAAAGCTCAACCAAAGATATTGATTGGTCAAGACAATTGGCCTCTGTTGGTAAGTCAGAAAGTAATAACTGGACCTTGGCATGGACCTGCAGCTAGCAAGACTCCTCTCGGATGGGTAGTCCACGGAAATTTCAGATTGGATCATCCCGCAATATCTGAACATTATGTTTGCTTCATGAACCACAAGGAGAAGGATAGCCTCGACATTTTGCATGACTTGGTGAAGGAGCAGTGGAAGATGGAATCTTTTGTTGAGGTGAGAAATCCATTATCAAGAGAAGATATGAAAGCTCAACAAATCTTGGATAATACAATGCGCAGAATTGGAGACAGGTTTGAAACCGGGCTATTATGGAAGACTGACAACAACAATCTGCCAGAAAGCAAGAAAAATGCATTGAGGCGACTTTACTGTACCGAGAGACGGATGGACAAAGACCAAAACTTTGCCAAGAATTATATGGCCAAGATTGACGACATGGAGAAGAAAAATTATATTTCAAAGCTGTCGTGAAAAGAAGCTGAAGAATATGGTGAAAAAATATGGTATCTCCCACATTTCAGCATTACTAATCCAAATAAACCAAATAAATTAAGAATAGTATTTGATGCAGCATCCAGATCAAATGGGGTAAGTCTGAACGATTTTCTACTTACTGGACCAGACCTTTATAATTCTTTACACACCATTCTTTTGAATTTTCGCATAAAGAAATTCGCTTTCACCGCTGATATCAAGGAAATGTTTCTTCAAGTCGAAGTCAGAAAAGAAGATCGAGCAGCTCAGAGAATTCTTTATCGAGGAATGGAGAGAAATAGAGAACCGGACGTTTATGAGATCAATGTTGTCTTTTTCGGTTCAGTCAGCGGTCCATGTCTGGCACAAGAAGCCAAAAATAGAAATGCGCGTGATTTTGAAAAGAATTACCCTGAGGCTGCTGAAGCTATAATCCAGTCTCACTACATGGATGACTACCTAGGAGGAGCAGACACCGAGTTAGAAGCTGAAAAGCTGATTCACGATTGTATTTATGTACATAGTAGGGGAGGTTTTGTAATCTGCAACTGGATTGCGAATAATCAATGCATACTCAGAAATGTAGACCAGACACTTTTAGCAGACAGCCAGAAGAATTTTGATAAATCAGATTCGTCAACAGAACGAATACTTGGAGTTTGGTGGAATCCAAAGGAAGACAACTTCAGATTTCAAACAAGATTCCATAAGATCAGCAAAGATTTATTAGAAAATAAGAAGATACCAACTAAACGAGAGGTTCTGAAAGTTGTGATGTCGGTATTTGATCCACTGGGATTCTTAGGAAATTTCATAGTTCACGGGAAGATACTACTGCAGGATATCTGGAGGAGTAAAGTTGACTGGGATGACGAAATTCCAGATTCGTTATATGAAAAATGGAATACGTGGATGAATGACCTGGATAACATCTATCGTTTCAGACTACCTCGACAATATTGTGCGATGGACAGAATCAGCAGCTCAATTCAATTGCATATATTTTGTGATGCTTCTGAAAATGCTTACGCATGTGTTGCTTATACTAGGTGGCAGCAAAACAAAGAAGTCAAAGTATGCTTCATGAATGCGAAAACTCGAGTATCTCCTCTCAAACCTCTGTCTATACCTCGTCTTGAACTGCAGGCAGCTCTGATGGGAGCGAGATTAGGACTGTACCTGAAAAACAATATACAACTCAATATTTCTAATACATTTTATTGGACAGACTCGAAGACTGTGTTGTATTGGATTCGTTCAGAGGCCAGACGCTTTCCCATGTTCGTCGCGCAACGACTTGGAGAAATTCAAGAAATCACAAATGTTTTCGAATGGAATCATGTCTCTTCCAAGGAGAATGTTGCCGATGAAGCCACAAAACGCTACGGAAAGTTGGATTTTTCTGAAAGAAGTAGGTGGATAAATGGACCTCCATTTTTATTAGAATCAATGGATAAATGGCCTAAAGAAGAAAGTAAAGATTCAGAAATTAACTATGAAGAGGCAGAAACGAAAAAGGAATTTGTTATTTTACAAGTGATAAGACACCTAATAGATGGTCCAGATCCTGAAAGATTCTCAAAAGGGCAACGAATCTTGAGATCGACTGCTTGGATGAACAGATTTATTGACAACTGCAGAAAAACGAATAGGAATGGTGAGTTAGATGAAACTGAACTAAGAAGATCGGAACATCTATTATTGAGAAAGTCACAAATGGAATCATTTCCTGAAGAAATAGCCATTTTGAAAGCGGACAGAAAAATAACAACATCCAGTAGATTATTTTCTCTTGACGTGATTATGAATGAAGATGGACTTCTGAGGCTTGGTGGAAGGTTGAACAATGTATCAAACCTACATCAGGATACGAAAAATCCTATTATATTGGATCCCAAGAATAAAATTACCAAGTTGATAGTCCAATTTCACCATGAACTTGTGAATCACCATGGACAAGAACAGGTGATAAACAACTTACGACAAAAATACTGGATATTAAGAATGCGACAAGCTGTGAGAAGTTGCTGGTCAAATTGCCAAAGATGTAGAAACAGAAGAAGCATTCCAGTTGAACCAATCATGGGACAACTACCGACATGTCGACTAGAACCTACAATCCGACCATTCATCAAGACAGGAGTGGACTACTTTGGACCTCTGGGAATAACCGTGAAAAGAACTCACGAAAAAAGGTACGGTGTCATCTTCACGTGTATGGTAACTCGCGCAGTCCACTTAGAAATTGCTAATGATTTGAGCACTGATGGATTCATCAATGTATTTAGACAGTTTGGAAGCCGAAGAGGATTTCCCGAAGAGATCTACAGTGACAATGGTCTTTGTTTCAAAGGAGCTGCAAGAGAACTCACCGAAAATCTTCAAAAATTAGACCAGCCAGAAATTCGGAAATTTTGTTCTTTGAGGAATATGAAGTGCTCCACTAGCTCCATTTATGGGTGGAGCTTGGGAACGCTTAATTCAATCAATCAAGAAAAACCTCAGCGAAGTCCTGACTGAAAAATTCCCTCAAGAATACGTGCTAAGGACGGCACTTGTAGAAATCGAAAATATACTCAATTCAAGACCACTGACTCACGTCTCAACTGACCAAAATGATCCCGAAACTTTGACTCCTAATCATTTTTTGATTGGACCATCGTATGCCTCTCTACCATGTGCGAAGATAGAAGAAAATAATATAAATCTCTTGAAGAAATGGAAAATTGCCCAAAAACTTGCAGATTCTTTTTGGAAAAGATGGTCACGAGAATATGTTCTATCACTTATCAAGAGGACTAAGTGGCATAATGATCCCACAAACATCCAAATAGGAGATATAGTTTTGATAGCTGATCCGAATGGACCAAGAAACTGTTGGCTAAAAGGAAAAATAGTTCAACTTTACCCTGGTAAAGATGGGAGAGTTCGAGTAGTTGATGTTATGACCGCTAGCAAAACAGTATTTCGACGTCCAGTTTCCCGATTATGCATACTACCTGTGAACGACAAAACTACCAAGAAAGACAATGAAGAAGAAAGTAATTGTGCTCAAGAACTCATGGAGAACAATTACTGAGGAGGAGAAATGTGGAAGATTAGAAATTATTATATTTTATGTTGAACACGTTGTATAAATGTTCATATATCAAGTTAGAACTTTGTGTCAAAAAAAAAAGACAGATGAAAAAATAAATACAATTTGGAGAATAGTGAAAGTTAATTTTCGTTCTTCGAGACCGGATTGTCAAGTAAATTCCTACAATTTTAGGTAAATATATTCATCAATGGGGGTGTGTGTACTTGACCCCCAGTATTCTGAATATTTGAAATTTATTTTGTGTTTTGTTTTCCTCACACGATGTATCTCTTTGTGCTGAAGTGATGTACCAATTTTAAGATTGAAATCTTACTAAATACGCGAGTAATTGAAAAAAAAACAGCTTCAAATTTCCAACTTTGACACCCTGTATATCGAATATCAAGGGCTGAAATGGAAAATGGTATTCAGAAACTCATATTGTTTTTGTTCAAGGAATATATGGTTAATGGATTGACCTCCTTCTAGCGGACACCCTGTATTATGGGACCAAACTGTCACCTATTGGTGTGATCACTAATTTCAAGAATTTATAGAACCTCTATTGAAAAATATACTCACATCATAGTATCTGTAGATACAATCGATATAAATACACAAAATTTCAAATAATTATTGACACGAATGAAAGATGATATATTGATTGACAGAGAATACCGATACTGATATAGAGAGAATTATCTTTGGAATAGCTTTCAAAATAAACTGATCTTACAATGAATGACCGCTCGATTGCTTCCTTATCAATGCAGTTGTGCGAGTTCATTCTTCTTATCAGTTAATTACAATTTTTTCATTAATTCATCAGAATAAAATTTGAGCGATTCGGTTAGTGAACGCCAACACCTGCAAGTGACTAAATTGGTACACCCACATTTTGCATTCTCAATGCTTATTTACGCATTAACTTGAACAACAATCATATACCCAGCGAGCACAAACATCCCTGGGATGTTTTGGGATGTTTTGAAAATGTTGGCATGAAGATGTTATTTTGAGACGTAATATGCACTGACCAAAGGGGTCTTTGAACGATATTAAAGTATTGTTAAATACTGTCTGTAGGTTAATCGAGGAGGTGGTATATTCATTATTTCAAATTTTTTGGGATTTTCTCTCCTCGTTTCTATAAAATAAAAATATGAATATTATTTCAAAATACGTGTAGTAAGGACAAATCAGATGATTTGCCCCAAAATGTCACTGCGTTTAAAGAATTTCCCTATCAGAGAGCCTAAAAGAAAAATTCACTAGCTTGTCAGTGACAATTTGTATTGAAAAAATTTTTGGAGAAGGGAAATAAAGGTATATAGAAAAAATATCAAATTTTCACTTATCTTTGGACGTTTCGGGACCGGTTCTGCTCCCGTTTTCAACATAAGAAGAGATTATTTCAATAGCGAAGTCGTATAATGTCTTGAAGCTTTTCAGTTTTCAATGACAATTGGTGACGTTGGCAATCAAATGAGTTACAGGATGTTTTCATTAATTGATCTTGAATTTACCATTTTCATGTTCAGATTTTAGTAGTGAATACCATGTTCTGTCTATATCAACTGAACAAGAAGCAATGTTATTGTCTCCGTTCAGAAGAATGCAAGCAGATTCCTTGATTTTTCTCTTCTGGTTGTTATCTTCTTTTCCAATAATTTTAATATTATTCCACTCTGCCATATGTTGTCCGTCTTCAGTAAGGATATGTTCAGCTAGTTTCGATTTATCGATGTTTCTTTTCTTTATATTGTACTTATGTTCCTTCGTCCTTACTGAAAGAGGTCTCTTGGTTTCACCTGTATAAAACTTTCCACAAACACAAGGTATACTGTAAATACAATTTTTTGATGATTGTTCTTCATTTTTCGGCTTTGTTTGAGTTAGAATTGATCTCATTGTATTTTCAGTTTTGAACACAGTTTTCACTTGAAATTTATCACCAACACGTTTTATTTTTTCAGATATGCCGGGAATGTATGGTATTATATTTGTCGTTATTGATGGTTGATTTTGTTGTGGTTGACCCTGTTTGTTTTCAATTCGATGAATCGTCCTATCGACAAAATTCTTTGGATAAGAATTGAGTTGGAGAACATTTTTAATGTGGTGGACTTCGTTATTGAAAATTTGTTGGTCAGATGATATTGATTTGGCTCTATCATGGAGTGATTTGATTATTCCTTTCTTAATACTTTTCGGATGATTTGATTGAAAGTTCAAGTATCTGTTAGTATGGGTCTTTTTACGATAAACACTCGTTACAAAGATGTTATTTGATTTTTCAATAAGAACATCTAGAAACGGTAATTGATTATTAGATTCAATTTCCAAAGTGAACTTTATTGTAGGTTCGGCATTGTTCACATAATCCAGAAAATTATCTAGCTCCATAACATTATTGTGAGGCCAAATTATGAAAATATCATCTACGTATCGCCACCATGTTTTAGGTTGTTTTTGGTTATTTTTGATGATGTTGTCTTCAAAATTCTCAATAAATATATTGCTTAAAATTGGAGATAATGGCGATCCCATGGCCATTCCAAAGTTTTGTTGATAAAACTCATCACCCAATTGAAAATATGTTGTTTTTAGACACAATTCCAAAAATTCCATTATTCCTTCGATACTTAAATTAGTTCTTTCAGTGAGACTTTCATCGTCTTCTAATTTATGTTTCACTATTTGTAAAGTTTTATCTATTGGAACATTTGTGAATAAACTTACTACATCAAAACTAACAAGAGTATCATTTGTATCAAGAGTGATGTCATTAAGTTTTTCTAAGAAATGGGGAGTATTTCTGATGTAACTCTCACTTTTTCCTGAAATAGGATTGATGATATTCAAGAGAAATCTTGCTAAATTTTGACATGGAGATCCAATTGAACTCACGATTGGTCTCAATGGAACATTTGGTTTGTGTATTTTTGGAAGTCCGTAAAAATGAGGAGGTTTGCTGTGATATGTGGAGATATTCTTTCTTTCCGCGAGTGTCAAGAAACCAAGAGACCTCTTTCAGTAAGGACGAAGGAACATAAGTACAATATAAAGAAAAGAAACATCGATAAATCGAAACTAGCTGAACATATCCTTACTGAAGACGGACAACATATGGCAGAGTGGAATAATATTAAAATTATTGGAAAAGAAGATAACAACCAGAAGAGAAAAATCAAGGAATCTGCTTGCATTCTTCTGAACGGAGACAATAACATTGCTTCTTGTTCAGTTGATATAGACAGAACATGGTATTCACTACTAAAATCTGAACATGAAAATGGTAAATTCAAGATCAATTAATGAAAACATCCTGTAACTCATTTGATTGCCAACGTCACCAATTGTCATTGAAAACTGAAAAGCTTCAAGACATTATACGACTTCGCTATTGAAATAATCTCTTCTTATGTTGAAAACGGGAGCAGAACCGGCCCCGAAACGTCCAAAGATAAGTGAAAATTTGATATTTTTTCTATATACCTTTATTTCCCTTCTCCAAAAATTTTTTCAATACAAATTGTCACTGACAAGCTAGTGAATTTTTCTTTTAGGCTCTCTGATAGGGAAATTCTTTAAACGCAGTGACATTTTGGGGCAAATCATCTGATTTGTCCTTACTACACGTATATTGAAATAATATTCATATTTTTATTTTATAGAGATGAGGAGAGAGAATCCCAAAAAATTTGGAATAATGAATTAAAGTATTGTTTTTGTTCTTCTGTGGCATTTCTTTGTTTGCCTACTGAGAGGTATCCCTGGGATGTTTTGGGATGTTTTAGAAATGTAGGCATGAGGATGTTTTTTTGAGGCGTAATATGCACTACCCAAAGAGGTCTTAAAAGGATATTGAAAGTATTGTTTTTGTTCTTTTGTGCCCTTCCTTTGTTTGCCCCACGACAACGTCTCATGCTTACGTCACAATACAATGAATTCTGATTTGTTTTCGATTTTGTTCTTCTTGTTCGCAATTGGCATTCGCGTTTGGAGCGTGTCACGCTTACATCACGCTGCTAACGAACAGAAAGGAATTTGGTGAAGTTTATTGTGTTAGAAGACTTATTTAGTTTGTAATAATGACCATCAGATGCAAGATGTGTTGTTCGGTGCCTCAGTGTAATCAATATATAAAAGTACGAATTCATCAATACACAGCTTCTCCGCAGTTGCAAAATTATGCATTGTGGAGAACATTTCAAAAATTGGGAAACCTATTTCCAATTATACGTCTGTGTGTAGTGAGCACTACTCAGAAACCGATTAAGAAGGAAATTTCATATCAAGAAAATATTTTTATGCATGTTCAATCTATTTTTAATGCATTTTTTCATTCAAGGGAATTGGAATCCTAATGCAAAAGTTCATTTTGACATAAGGCTTCAGAAAAGTACCTCGAAAAGGGTTTTTTATAGCGATTTAATGTGCGCAAGACTCGTTGAAAATGTTCTGTTGTGTCCATGAAAAGGCTTTAAAAAGAACTAGGGAGAAGGTAGTTTTGTGACATATCAAGGACATCTCGATAATTGCCGCCTGCGGCGGACATTGGCTGTTCTATAATAGTTCTATTCATGTGTGAACAGAACATCGCAGTGGAGGTTCAATGTCTCGAAATCTCGTACTTTTAACATCTCTGAGATGTTTTTGTGCTCGCTGGGTACGAGAGTCAATGCGATCTATACAGGGTTTCTCGAAATTACGTAGAAAGATTTCCAACACAGATTCTGTGAACAAAATTATTAAATGAAGTTCATACAAAGATGAGTCCATAAATGGCCTTCTGGGGAGTTATAGCTTCCTGAAGAAGAGTCCGAGATGATGTTTTTATGCCCAATTTGAAAATGTTGAGAATTTTTCGAAATTTTGATCAGGAGAAGATTAAAACTGAATGCTCTATCCTAGTGGGCTACTTATACACTTGAAAAGTTAGAAATATACGAAATTATCTGTAATGATTGTGATGTAACATATATGGGACAAACTAGGCGTCCCATAAAAACAAGGTTCAAAGAACACTACACTGTTTTACCACAAACCAAACCGATTTTTTAAACGCCTCGACACGTTTTTTTCGCTAACTATGTTATGCTACTTATATACCTAGTATATAAGCAGCACACTAGAATAGGATATTTAGTTTCAATCTTCGCCTGAAGATGCTAACATAGTTAGCGAAACACGTGTAGAGGCGTTTAAAAAATCGGTTTGGTTAGTGGTAAAACAGTGTAGTGTATTATCGTGCCGAAGGTTTTCACTTTATACCCACTAAAACTATTCGAAAAGGGCTCTATTGGCGAAATATGACATTAGTGAATTCTTCAGCATTATGAAGATCCAACTAGAAAGTCCTATATCCTAAATTTCAGTAGTTGGCAGGCCTCCTCGATATAACAAAACCTCATGAAATTGGTTTGGCATAGATTCTATGAGGCTGTTGATGAAGTCTATTGATATATTGCCTCCCATTCTTCTGATACAGCTTGGATAAGGTTGTCATTACTTTGGGGTGCCTCTCGCCTTCTCGATAGTTTGGGTTCCATTCAGCTCCACACATGTTCAATCAAATTCAGATCTGGAGATAATGCTGGTCACCACATTCTCATAACATAAGTGTATTCTAGAGTTCGTAATTTGTCAGATGAGTTGTGAAACACTCAGTATATTGAACAACAATACTCTGTGTCTCATACTTCCCAGCGAGCACAAACATTCCTGGGATATTTTGGGATGTTTTGGAAATGTTGGCATG